GTTGGGGTTCTCATCACCAGTTGGAATACATCGATCCAGCTGAGGATCGAAATTGAGAACTCACAGGTGGAACACAAGCATACTACCCACTTAACCACCAAAACGCTGTTTGTGCTCATCTTTCATTTTCACCTCAGTTGGTTTGGTGGATTCACACGGCTAGCAAGAGCTAACCAGGTTGAAACAGTGCGTCTCCGCTTTTCAGTTCCCATTTCGTTTGCTCTACGCACGATGGAATTCACCATAAAATTCAATTGTTCGTAATTCTGCCTGTGCCAAGCAAACAAGGATTTTTTGGTTTGTGTTGGGTTGCATTTTCACATTCCCCCGAAAGGTCGTTTGAGATGGAGGTGGGGTAGGTGCCGGGGGAGGGATGAAATCGATTGGGTCTGGAGTGTTGACGGTAATGTTAGAAATGTTGACGATCAGTTCAGAGATGGAGTAAGTCGAGAGCCTGGAAAAGTTACTTCCGTGCACATAGTTTGTGTGAAAAGGTAGATGAATTCCACCTCAGCGTCGGCTAGTGTATCTATCTATCTATGTCCAATTCTTTGCTTGGGTTGGAGGGGCCGCATTATAGAAAAATGTAATTGCAGATTCTGTCCTAAATGAAAGACTTATATTCACCAGATGGCGCTCCCTAAGTCCTCTGTATCTTTCTCAAATAAGGTGGACCGTATTCGTTTGTCCTTTCGGATACTTGCCTTGCAGTATGAACGATGCATGCTAGATTACAAACTCGCCTGAATGAGAAGATTATCTTGGAATTGGACAATGTAGGTAGCTTGTCTTTTTGGTTTGTTCGAAGTATGGGTCAACCTGTGAGCCCGCACGATGGTCCAGCTGCGTTATAGGTCCGGTTTATTTGCAGTTCGTCAAACATTGCCACCTTAAAAACGTAGACGGATAAAAATTCGGATAGTGACCACTCGATAAGCTGTTTAGGATAACCTTGTTCTATGAGAACGTACTTATTTTGTTCACATGTACTGATAGACAGGGGCTATTGAAATTAAAAATACCAGGTTATTGAAAATAAAGTGAGAGTTCTATTATTATGGAA